CCCACATTCTCCCTCTTGCCCCCACAGCTCCCACACCAAAATTAAGGAGGTTGGCAGGCTGCTCCCATGGCTGGGCCCAACCACTCTTGGGGGGTGTTCACACCAGCATGCACACCTCCTTTAGAGGACCCACTGCACACAGCCAGACCCCTTGCCCACACATGGAGATCTAGCACCCACTCCCACTATACCCAACTAGAAGAGACAATGTGTTAGTGCTGGGAATGCAACCCATGGTAGTCAAGCTGAGGGTCTCCAGGTTACAGCCCAATCACTTCAGTGAGAAACTGGGGTCAGAGGTCTTGTCAGTGACCCCAGTCAACAGTGAGGACAATCTGCCAATTTCAGGTTGCAAGTGCGGTTTTGAATGTTGGTACGACAGGCACACCATGATGACTGCAGTATATGTTACAGAAGGTTTCACCACAGTGGGTCTGGGGGCTCAAAGGGCTAAGGCTGAGATCCACCTAAACTCTGGGACTTGCCGATGCTGCACCTTCCATGTAGTAAAACAGAGGGGAGACCCGACGACCACACGGATCAGGCCCAAAGAAATGCACCAGGGGGCATCACAGGTAAAATAAGATGTCCAAAAGTTACAACAGCAAATGACACCAAAGACAGCTACGTTTTAAGAGCAGCTAAGAAATGTGACTAAACATGTTTTGGTTTGCATGTGCCTTTGAATTCAGTACTCGGGATGAGGGAGGCTGTGGAGCTGAATAAAAACCCAATGGAGGGGAGACCTAAAACAATAAGGACCAAGGCCTCAGGCCTTAATGCAGGATCCAGTGAAAGGCCCTTGTCCTGCAGGGCAGCAAGCACTGAGACAGCAGGGTTTGTGAATTTGTGAACTCCGGGCTCAGACCCAGGCTCAATTCAGCTCTTCCAGCCACGTCCCCAACCCTCCACTCCCCACCCCTCACCCTGGTGCCCATGGGGAAGGAGGCCACTCCCTTTGTCTGTGCTGCCTCACTGGTCTCAAAAATAGCGCTTGCTTTGGAGTGGTCAGAAGGATCAAGTGAGTCATGCCACAGAAAGGTTCCAAGCTATACACACACATGGTGGGTTAAGTGCTCAAAATGTCAGCTACTTGAGTGTGTTCTCAGGGAAAACAAGCAGTACCAACTACAGACAGCTAGTAAAGCATGAGGAAAGATAAAATCTAGTGTGCCATGAACAGGTCAAGGACTTAGATTTATATCTAATTCCCTCTGAGTTTAAGAATCATTTTTATAACTCCCTCCAGCACTCACTCACACACTTGTGCCTCATTCCAGCACCCAGCTCATGTGTGTGTCCCACTCATACTCCAGAAGGGTCCTAGGGCAAAATGCCCAACTTCCCAAGCCTCAGATTCTGTAGCTGCCAAAGTGGCTGTCTTCCTCGTAACGTTTAATCTTATTAAGCAGATAGCCTCTGCAATCACAGAGTTGTTGGAATCTGTTGTGGGATCAAGTGAGAATCTGCACAGAAGGAGCCTCACACACCTGCTCCCCTTCCCAAACCCCCCCCCCCACACACACACACAACAGGATTGCTGACTATCTGTTGGAGTTGGAGGCACAGTTGGCAGTATTCATCCACCCAGCATGGGGCCCACACTCCAATCTTGCTTTGCTGCTGGGGTGGCAGGGCCCTGCCTGGGTCAGGGTCCTGAAAGTCTGTGTTGAGTCCAGTGTGCTGTGTATCAGCAGGATAAGGCGTGTTGATCCCACTGCAAAGTGTGAAATTTTTGGATTCGGGACTGCTAAGCTCCTGATAAGGAGAAGTGCGATGACTGCAAGTTCCTATCATTTGAAAATTTATAACAAACACTTCTGGCAGGATCACTGTAACTATCCCCAAGTTCAAAGGAGGAACGTCAGTAATGTGGAGGAAAGTATTGCCAGGCTTTCCCTTTGGAAAGGACTTTCCCTTTGGCTCAGGCTGCCCCGAAATCACATTCCTGGCTGGCCATGTTGGAGGCGGTGACCTTCAGTACCTTTCGCTCCCTGCAGAGGGGCCAACTACAGAGGCCTAAATATAGCTGCAAAAGCAGAATCAGAAAGTGTGCCTTATTGGTACATGGGTGGCTTAGTGATAGAACTCTTGGCTGCCAATGATAAAACCAGTGATATTATACTTCAAAAGAAAAAGCAACCCTATACGCAGGTTTTGAGGACTGATTAGAACATCTCTTTTATAGTTGAGACACTCCTTGCAGTGAGAAAAGGTGAATAAAGAACTACTGTGGAGACAGGCAGTGTGGCGACCTCCGGGCTGCTGAGGGACCCAAAGGAACAGCAGGAAACTGGCGCTACCTTCAGGCCTGGGAGGAAGGGCCCGGGCACCCACAGCCCATAGCAATCAGCTTCTGGAGGGCAGAGGATAAGCTTGAGGACACAGAATGTGCAGTGCACGTCCTTCCATGGAGAAATAACTTCTGTGTTCTTTAAAATGGAAACCAAGGTGTGGTCCAGTGGCACAACTGGTTAGCAGCAGGGCTTATAAAATGGAAACTGAGGTAGCAGCTGTCAGCCTGCTATATAGGGTAAGAGAGATATGTACAAACTACGTTTTGGGGAACCCATCTTCGCTAAGGACAAGGCGATTCCTGCTGTCATTCTGAGAGACAGCATTGAACGCTTTTGCCTCTCTGCTGTGTTTCTGGAAGTGGGCACTTTGGATTTCCCAGACCACCACAACCATCCAGGGCATTCATCCTCTCCATGTTCGCCACTCACCCACTCCCCTCTCTATTTCAGACACTGATCCTGGCCTGGAAATGCCACCTGTTCCAGTTCCTGAGTACCGTCCGGCCATTCAGCTGGATTGCTTCTTGGCAAGAGCCAGGCTTTGGAGAAAATGAGTCAAAAAATGGGAGCCGAGATTCCCGTCAGCTGACGCCATTTATTGAAAGGTAATCTTGCTTTCTCCAGTCCATTTACATGGAGGTAGCTGCGATAAGAGCAGCTAATTCACATCCAAAGCAGAGACCCAACAGAACAAACTTATTGTCCCTGTAGCATGAGTGATACTCCAAAGCAGGAAAAAAATTACAAACATTGGATGATTGTCTTTTCAGCATTGCATTTGGCCACATAGTTGTTTATTAAATATTTTTCAAGCTAGCTAAAGAAAATATTCTTGAACAACAGAAAAAATGTGTATATAATAAAGTCAAAGGATGGTAGCATGTCTGAGCTATACAGGCAAGGCCTTGTATAAGGTCCCTGGGGTCAGAGAAGCCAAGATGGAAAACCCCTCCCAGCCCTGATTTACCCAGCACCAACACTGGGTAGGATGGGCAGCGTTGCTGCTTGTAGCCAGCCTACGGTGATCAGAAGGAACCAGCTGGAATGGCAGCAACACACAGAACAAAACACACACTGCCTGCCAAAGTGCTGGGGCCCACTGGCCGTTCTCAGGCGAGTCTGTAGTTAGGAGTGGGCTGAGACAGCTCTGGGCAGGCTTACTGTCAAGTATCTGAGGATGGTGGGAACCAGAGAAATCAAGCACATTGAGGGTGGAAGGACTGTCGAAGTCCAGCAGGGCAGCTGATTTCCTCAGGACAGAGGGGCTTCAGGGTTGGGCTGAGCCTCTGTGTTGTCTGTTTCCGTTACCCCTTATCCCCTGACTGTTTTATTCATGTACTTCCAGTGCCAAGGACTGTGCCTCACACATCACAGGACCCAGTTAAAGTCTTGGTGAATGAATGAGGGAGGCCTCTCTCCACACTGCAAGTGAGTGAACAGTGGCCTCCCACCTGTGCTGAGGGCCAGCTCCTCCTGCTCCAAGGGCCTTGCTCATGGAGAGACCATGATGTCCACGCCTGTAAAAAGGGCTGACTACTCTAAATCCTGTGGGGTGGCCTCTGCCCAAGGTAAAGGTCGGGCACTAGGATTGCCTGTGGCCCACAGACCTTCTATCTCAGATATTTGGGGACACAGCTGAGCACCTACCTCTGCTCCCACACACAGACAACTCAGCGTTCTCAGAACAGTTTGAGAGGCCCCAGTTGGGACTGGACTTCACCTCTGGGTGTTGCTAGAACAGCGAGAGGTGGTATCAGGAAGGCCAGGAGGAGGTGAGGCCCTGTATCCTCCCAAGGCTGTTCTCCCTGTCATATAACCTTGTCCTGACCTCGTCCAGTCCGAGTCACTTCCTACCTCGTACTGACTCTCATGTTCTTTCTCACAGGAAATTAAGAGGCCACTTCCAGTTTGCACAGACATCGCTCTGCCTGACTTTAGTTTCTTTCCTCCTTTCCTGATGAGAATCTGATTATTTTGCTCAAACCCCTCTTGACTACACAGCTCCCAGTTTCAAGAACAACTTTCTCTCTGCCTTCTCTCCTGCCTCTACACTCACACACCTGCTTGTCCCGCCTCCCTGTCTCTTTCCTGAACACCTCTGCTCCACACTTTAGACTGTGCACCTTTTCTCAATACCCACCTGTTCCTGACCCATCAGGGGTTGTAAGAGCCTACTTCAGAGGCCTGCTGAAGGAAAGCATGCATAAGGACTTGTCCTCCAGAAACATCTGTCAAGAGCCTGACATACAAGTCTCCCCCCACCACCTGTGTAAAGGAAATACAACCAGTGACTGGGAATTGACCAGAGCATGGTTCAGAAATCCTTACAAAATTCTAGATAAAATTAGCAACCCAACCCACCAATAAAAGTGACCTTCTGAGTCCCTCCTATCAGCAAGTCACTTACCAAGGCTACCTGCCTTCCACCCCCAGTGTAACTTGCTCATCACAAGTCCTATGTTCCCATTGTCTTCCAACGTGGTTTCTATTCTGCCTGCTCTCTCTGGCTTCTGTTCCATAGCACTTGAAACCTACTAGCTTCCTATTTTTAAAAACAATACTCAATAGAGATGTGTGAACTTTACAAAGAAGCCACCCCATGAAGCTTCTAACATTCCAAAGTGGAACAGCAGCAGGTCTGTATTGAAACATGTACAATCTATACAGTATTTCCTCCCCCTCCCCCCACCCTCCCCTCCCCCCACAAGGGCTCGTAAATAACTACCATTTTGTTCTCTTTATCTAGACCGGGGCAGGATCAGTAACACAAATGACGCCAGCAGACACGGGCTCCATCCTGCCACGTTGTATTTCCAATACCCCACCCACAATGGGCAGCATTTTAAACTGTGGTAGCTACACAGCTGAGATACAACAACTGCACCAGCCTTTCGAGATCCAGGAAGGAACGTGGCCTGGAAGAGTCCGCCTGTGGGGTGAGCAGGGCGGGGTCTCAGCTCAGGGGGCTCTCTCCTGCTGCAGGTGGTTTCGAGTCTCCATGCGGAATGACAGGTCACTTCCGCTTCCACAGACCTGGCCGTGGGCTCAGATCTGGCCAACGGAGGTGCAGTCCTTGGGGAAGGTGTAGCTCAGTGGCGCCTCATAGAGGCTCCCTCCATCTGTGCTGAGGTCGTCGTCATCATCCATGTCGTCCAGCACTTTGCTTGGCAGCTTCTTCAGTCTGCGGAGACAACAGGAGACATGTTCTAGCCTGGGGTTCATGTCTCTTGACCCCACTGGGTGGCATGTAAGTTCTTGAACCTTCATTTAAGGACTGCATTAGGGAACTAACTGCCTACCTCCCCACAGGGGGGTTACAGTGATGAGGGCTGGGGCCCTTTTTCCTTTGATCGGGGTATTCTTTTTGATCCCGTCCTCAACATGTCATAGCCTAAAGCTGGCCTGACAACAGGGGAGCCTAGAAACAGCCCCTCTCTGGTCGTATGAGCTCGTTAGTGTCAGGGTTCCCAGTCTGTTTCAGTGTCAGGGTTCCCAGTCTGTTTCCCCATGTGGCCAATCGAGCCTGCCTGCCCAGCTGACATACTCACACGTCTCGTGAGGATGACACATGTGAGCCCCTGTGGAGGCAGCCACTTTCACCTCTAGAATGTGTCACCCCAACAGTAACAGCAGGGAACCAGCTTGAGACAGCAGGAGAATGCTCTCAAGGCATCCACTCAGCCCGAATGTCGGGAAGTGTGGCTCCTGAGGGCTCTGCCCACCTTAGGTCCTTCTTCATGGAATTGAGCTGGCCCTGGAGCTGCTCATTCACATCCATCTGCTCCTCCAGCTCCCTCTGCAACTTCTTTTTTGAACTTTCCAGTCTGTCGATTTCCTCCTCAGCTTCCTCCACCTGTCGCTTCATTGCTTTCAAGCGCAAGCTCAGCTGCAGTGGGGGAGAGAGGGCAGGTTGAGTGTGGGCTGGAGGACAGGCCCGGTGTCCAGCTACCTTCTCCCTGGGCCGCCATTCTCACGGGAGAGTGGAGGGAAGACTAGACACGTTGACTTTTAAAAGGTCAGGGCTTGATTATGGTGGTGGGAAACCCGTGGGGTTTACAATTGAGATGGAAAAAAAAATGTGCAAAATGATGTAAAAATAAACTTTTGTAATTAAATAAAAAAGGTCAGGGCTTGAAGTCACGGAGGTCTTGCCTCCCTCCAGCCCGGGACTTAAGATCTCAGCTGAGGTTTCTCACCTGGTCCTTCTGATCAGTCAGCGACAGGTGCTCATCGTCTACCTGCATCACCAGCTCCTTCACTTTGCGCTCCAGCCGCCGGTTGCTGAGCTGCAGGCTCGCCCGGTCTCTGGAGGAGCACAAGAGGCAGCACTGAGGGCCCTCTCACTCCTGGCCCCAGAGGAGGGAGACTCCAGCCAGGACTTGGGGTCAGAGAGACAAGCATACGAGAAACGGCTGCACGGGGTAGGAGAGGAACCCAGCTCTGAGTTCTTCCTGAGCTTTACTACGTAAGGCAGAAGGCTAGGCAGTACCCGTGTTTTACGTCTACTCCAGCCCCGTCCCCAGAAGTCCTGCTGAAAACAAGTATTACATGTTCACATACTGCCCTTCTAGCAAGGTGACTGACAAGGGCAGATCAGTCAAATTCAACCTTGTGCTGGCCCAGGTTACCTGAATGCCAGATACAGGAACTTGTGATGTCGGAAAGGAGGGTGTCCTTCCTTCTCACCGTGATGGGGAGAGGTCAGCCCCTCGCCTCTCTCTGCTCAGATCAGCAGCAGGGGGAGCTGCCTGGGAGATGGTGGTGCAGCTAAGGACTAAGAAGTGGGCAACCTAAGTTTTAGTTTCACTACAATTACCTAACAAGGGCACCTTGGCTCAGGTCGCTTACTTTGGGCGATGGGGGAGGGGATATTCTGGGTTTTCTCATCTATAAGATGGAAACAATAAGGTCCTTGTTGTGCTGTCCTCACAGGCATGAGGATGGAGGATCAGAAGAGCTGCAAACAGAAACGCTACGTGACGATCTCCATGCACCACAGCAGAGCGGCTCACCTCTCCTCGCCCTCCAGACGGTCTTCAAGCTCTGCGATCCTGGCCTCCATCTGCACCACCAGCCCCTCTTTGCTGGACCTGTAGGAGCCTTCCAGGTGGATAATCCGGCTCTTTAAATCTTTGTTCTAGAACCAGACAGGGAGGTTGTGAGGGGCTGCGTGTCTGCCACACTCTAGCAGAGCGGAATAGAGGGTGGGTCAGTGCTCACTGGCTGATGGCTGCAAAAAGCCTACTTTCCACACCAGGATGGGCATCCAGGGGGACTTGGGGCAGCCAGGGGTATTTCCAGAGAAGGGCCTTGGACTGTGTGCCCTGGAGGGCCAAAAAAAAGTCCATCACATCCCAAAGCAGGATCTTTGGCATGTCCTGGGACTCCTGGATGTCAGACAAATGGGTTTGTCCTCTTATAAACCTATTTGGGGGAGGCTACAAGAGAAATAGGCTCTTTCACCAATTAGCACAGCAGTGAAGAGCAGATGACAGAATGTGTTTGATCACACAGTCCTTCTTCATTCCCTTTATATTAGCATTTAGTCCTTTTCAGGATTTAATAAAAAAAACATTGACAACATTACCACTCTCCAATTGCTAAACTTTCAATCAGGTTTAATAGTACTGGGGGACGACATCAAGTAAGTTGTATCCTAGAGTTCTGGGGAATCCAGGAAGAAGGAGCACCTGCCCTCACCTGTCTTTCTAGGGAAATCTTGTCGCACTCCAAGTCTTGCCTCACAGCTCGCTCCTGAAGTAGCTCGCTCCTTATCTGTTCCATCTACACCAAATAGATTAAGAAAAAATGAGGTTATGGGGTTGGTCCTTTTTCTTTTGTGCCAAAATGGTCCCCAGGCACCAGATTTTTACAATCCAGTCAGCTTTTCGTCACAGCTGGGCCTGCTGCTGTCTCCTTTTGGCCGTTTCTTAGACATTCTTGGTTTCCTGGTGATTGTAAAGATAGGACACAAAGAATCAGTTAATTGTGCAGTAAGGAATGGAACTGTGTCCCAAAGATATGTTGCAGACGTACAGAGGAGAGACATGGTGTGATGATTGACATGGGGACAAAAGCTGATGAACACCAAAGACTGTCAGAACTACCACAAACTAGGATGGGGGGGAGGAAGGATCCCTCGCAGTCCCAGAGGGGTAAAGCTGTGCTGACATGTGACGTGAGGTGACACATCTGTTCTAGATCAGCCTGTGTCGTTCTTTGCTACAGCAGCCTTAGAGAACAGACACACCTGCTCAGAGCTCAACTTGCACCACCTCGGATATCCCCACAGCAACCCCAAGAAGCAGCTGATAGCAGCTCTGCTGAGCAGGGGCTTAGCAAGAAGTCCATCTGCTTGTTGGTGAGTCACCATCCCAATTTATCCCCCACAACAAAGGGTGTTCTCGGTGCCTGGGACTTCCAATGCTAAAATTGGGACAGTCTCATATAATCTGGGTCATGCTAGTCACCACTACTGGGGTCTGCACAGCTAGTAGAGGAGCTAGAAGTCACCTAAGTTCTGATGACTGCATTACCACTGCCAGCTTCAAAAAGGGCTGGAATAGTGACCCCACCACGTTTCTCTCTTCTATACCAGTAACAAGTCAGCAAGCGCACTGGGCAGCTTGGGTGACCAGGCAAAAGCTCAACATTACTGCAGGCTGCTTCTGTGTTAATAAGAAATGGGAGAGAAGTGCCTGCCAGCATCTCCCTTCCCCTCCTCAGCTGACTTGGGCCGGCTACAGCACTGTCCAGCAGAGGGCGACATGAAGAAGCAGAAGACTAGACTCATGAGCAGGTAAAAAAAAAACAAAAACAAAACTGCCTTTTCTTTCCTAAAGTCAGGCTCCAGCGGGGTAAGAGTATTCACAGGAGCCCCTGGCTGCCTGGGGGACATCTGTAATAGCCTCACGTGGTCTGGCTTCAACTTGTTTCTCACCACCTGTACAAGCACATGAGTGAGGAAAAGATGAGCGCACCTGTTAGCTACCACCCGCCTGCCCTGGGAGCAGTGAGACAAAAGCATTATGTCAGATTTACATTTACTCGCCTCAGCTTGACCATGGTGCTGGGTGGAAGGACACAGCATGGTGTGCTGGAGGAGTGGGAGACGGAGTGTGCTGAGTGAGGTCAGCGAGAAGCGGGGCCCAAAAGGGGCCTCTAATACCACAGGAAGAGGTTGGCACTCAGCCCACAAGTGATGGGGTAGCCTTGGGTGTTTTTAAAAATTTGTTTTAATGTTAGAGCTCCCTCTTCTAGAGGATTTTAAGTGGGGACATAATTGAGAGGTCAGGAGTTAAAAGATGGGGAGTAAGGAAGAGGACAGGTAGACGCTTTGCATTTCTGACTAGCAAACTCGGAATTTTACCAGGGAGGACACGGAGGCCCCAGCTAGTTCTATAAATAACCCGAGGGAACAGGACTGGTACCCAGGAGGGTACTGCCCACCACTCCACCTGCTCCAGCTCTAGGGCGGCAGCCAGCTGCCTCAGGACACCCTTGTGTGTGACAGGGAAAGTCCTAGTCAGGGCAGAGGGTCAGCAGGCAGTGCACAGAAAGCTCCCACAGCTGTTCCCGCTCTGCTTGGCCCCAGGGACCCAAAGTCACATGTTGCAAAGAATGTGCCAGAATGGTTTCTGTAATTGTTCTAGGAGCACACAGTCCACGCTAACGAATGCGGACTCACAGTCCCACTCCAGTGTGGCTTGGGAACCACCGACACACCACGCACACAGCCTGGCCACGGGACCACAACCTGCCTCTGGGGACAAGGCCAGACGTCACTGAGGATGGTTAAACTTTCACTCTGATGGGAGTAATTACGTAAGACAGGTGGTGCTCCCGCCGTGGTGCCATGTACAACCTTGGTCACCTCACCTCTAGGACCCAGACTCTGGGAACTTGAGAGAGCGCTGTAAAGAGCCCTTGGAGGGTGCCCAAGAAACAGTGAAAGCACCCTCTGGGTGCTGTGTGGCTTTCCTTCACGGGAAATATCTATGGAGGCCTGTGCTTCTATCTATCCCCACTTCTCTCCAGACCTTTAAGAGTATCCTAGAAAAGAATGACCCTTCAAGGGGAGGGTGTTTCCATGCTGCCTTGGAAGGGTGGGATGGGTTTTGATGTTCATCAAAAAGAACGTATTTCCTGCCCTCATTACTGGCTAAGGCGGTGGGGGGGGAGACAAATAAGCCCTGGATCTGTCACCATATACACTATCCATCACTAGCCCCACTGGAGAAGGACAGTGGCTACATCTCAGACTTGGAGGGCCACTTAAAGGAATCCCAAGTGAGGATATAACCGAAGGTCAGGAGATAAAGATTTGGAGGGAAGAAAGAAGAGAGGTAGGGAGGTACACAGAGACCATCACACAGGTTCTGTTGGGACAACAGTGAACACCTGCACAGCACTTACTAAAGCCCTGAGCTTTGTGGTTCTCTGACCTCACTGCCACCCGCAAGGCAGGCTCTGTGAGTGCCCATCCATCTCTATGTTCCAGGAGAGACGGGAGAAGCCACAGAACAGATGAGCTCATCAGGGAAACATGAAGGACAAGAGGATTCAACTGTGTCCTCGGAGCCCCCTCACCCTGCCAGCTTAGGGGAGCAGAGGCCTGAAAACCAGGACACTGAGCTGCTCCAAAAGGGTGAGGATGAAGTACCTGACGGGACAGTTAGTTCCCTCTGGAAGGCTGGGCAGAGAGGGGATCCTGGATGCCTGGGGAAGGCCCTGGGTGTGGATATGGTTCTTCTTAGGACTCCAGCCGTGACTGAGACACCAGAGAGCTGGTTCAAGAGAGACTTCTCACACCTTCTAGCCAGCAGGGAGAACATACTGGGAGAAGTTACAAGTGATAGGTGTGTGACAGGAGACTGACAGCCTGGTGAGGAAGGGACATGATCCAGGGCCTGGACATGGGGTCAGCTGGAAAGGGATATTCCCCCAAAGGCGAAGGGATAAGGAAGAACTGGAAGCTTTCAGGGAGATAAAGATTTGGAAAGTTCGTTGCTGTGAGATATGCATTGGTAAGGGTCTCACAGCAGCCGTCCGGCCTCTGCATGAGTGGGTGTGCAGATGTCTGCTGCAACTGTGCCCAGCCTGAGGAGCAGGAGGAAAGAGCAAGGAAAAGGAGCCCCTGGCGGCAGCGTAGAGTGAGTCTGAGTCCCTCTCTCCGCTTGGAACTCTGAGCCAGATGTTGTTGCCCCTGTCGTCCAGGTGGGAGGTGCAAGAACATGGGAAGCAGCATGGAGGCACTAACCTAGGTCTTCTGGTTGAAAATCTCAGGCCCCCTTTCTCTCTCAGCAAGGCTGTAGGGCCTACATGTACAGGAGGGGCGAGTCCAGAAGGAAGGAGAGTTTGACAGATGGGGGAGCCCAAGAGGAAGTATGGCAACAGTGGAGGGTCTCAGGACCAACCCTGTGAGCAGTCAAGAAGCAGCACCCCTCCTGCAAGGTAGGACCTCCCAGGAGAACCCCCAGGCAAATGGTAACTGAAAAAGTCTTATACCTTACCACATCCCCTCCAAGTTGACTATTAAAGTGGAAATGCAAAATAAATCAGCGAGGAACAGGAAGGAACAAATGCAGAACCATAAAACTTAATAGCGACCATAACAGGGCAAGGTTTTCTTGAGTCCTGGAAACCAAGACTCTTGACAAACATGATACAGCTTCCTTCATTTCTTCAGAAAGGACAGCCTGACACTAAATTCAAAAATAAATCCACCACAGAGAATATTAAGCAAGGAACTCCACTCAAGAGGCAGGCATGTCCCCTGTGTCTAAGCTGTGCTTCTCACAGTGATCCTCAGCCCAGCCTAATGATTTGGGAATATTCCAAATCAGATTCTTCCTTCTCTGAGCCTCAGCTAACAACAAAGCCTCTAGCTTGGCCAGCCTTCCCCCTCTAACCTGGGAAATAAGCTTCAAATAATCTTTAAGTCATGTTTACCCTTCAACTGTGTTAAACAGACCAAACAAAAACTTTCCAGTTGAATTAAAAACAGAACAGGAGCTAAAGGCAACAGTTTATCACAGCTGGATTGTAAGAATGCTAAACCATGAATGTTTTGATCGGAAATAACAGCATCAGATGCCAGGGAGTTTATGTCAGAGGCAGTTGTGACCTGAGCCAGCTCGGAGGATTAGAAGCAGCTGCCTTCTGGGTTAATGAAAAGCCAGAGATATTTATGATTGCTAATAACAATATTTAACCCCATCACCTGTATTTACCATTGGACTGTAAATAGACCCCTGGCTGGTACTGAGATACTCAATCACAGAAAAGGAATATGATTGTTAAATTATGTACATTGTGTTATTGAGCAGTTAATACAATACTCTTCACTTCTGAGATGAGTATCATTTTAACTAAAAAATAATAATCAAAACCCCACTTCTACTTGGTATTTCACTAATAGCAATGGACCTCCCTGTCCTGATGATTACACCCCCGCCAAGAGCAGGTAGTCCCTGGGGAACAAGCAGTTCCAGAAGGTGACTGTGGAAACCCACAACCTTAGCCACCAGGATTGATCCCACAGTCGCCACGGCAACAGAGCAGCCTTGCTTAGCTCCTGGAAAAAGCGACGAGGCCACCCAAACTTGTGAGCTGGTATTTTTCCACCTGTCAGCTACCTAGGCCTTTATTGCACTGGGACGTATGGGCCTCCATGAGCAAGAATGCACCTTTCTGCTTAGGCCCAGCTCTAGCTTTGCCACTTGTCTGAACTCAACCACCAGCAGCAACATGGCAATGTCCAATGAGCTATAAAACCTACCGGGGGGACACACTTCAGACGTCTTAGAAGGAGGGCTAGATGAACAGAAACCCTCATTCCTATATTAAGAGGCACTACAGCAGGACTTTCACCCTGGAACCAGAAGCCCAGATGCATTTGGGGAGTACAGATGACCCTTACACAGTCCAGTGCGGGAATGATGGGGACATGGGTTGCGAGTAGGTTTTGGAGTGAAATTGTGTCCTCTTCCTCTCACAAGCTGCATGACCCCAGGAAGTCACTTAATTTCACAGTTCTGACAACCTAAAAACACATCATGCAAAACGCAGGCCACAGCACCCAGCAAACCTCTGAATGTAAAACAAGACTAAACACCAATAAAAACCCATTTAACTGAATTTTCCTATCATTTAACTGAATTTTCCTACAATTTTAAGTCAATCACAAATATTTCCTATGTTAGATTAAAAAGTACTATTATATAAATATAATTTATAAATATATAACAATTTACTTGAAGACACACTTCACCAAAAAAATATATAATTTATAAATATATATATAATAACTTATTAAATACAAATCTCTTCTTCACAGTAACCAGAATTGGAAACAAAATCCAAAAGGTTTGAATAATTTTTCTCATGTATAAGATTCCCTAAATCCATCAGTCTCTAGAATAATAATGTCCTGAACAGGTATGGAAAAGAAATGCCTTAGGAAAACAGGCAACTCACACTTACTGTGATCAGCATTTAAGAGCCAAATGTATACACAAGACAAAGAAAAACCAGAGGCAGGGTAGGATAGGATGCCGGCCATTCCTGTCCTCTGTCCTCAGATTAGCCTGGCTGGGGCTTTGTCGTGGTCTCTTCTCCTGTCCTTACCCTGACCCCACACATTAATCTCCTAGTACGCAGTGTCTGCTTCACTGTTTTGCTCAATAGCCTTTGATGGCTCAAAACCTTTCACCTGCCTCTCCTAACTTACCTGTTATGCTATCATGGAAACCAGAAACTCAACCCAGCCAGAACAGTCAATCATTGCTCCTCAAAATGCTGGGTAAGTTCCTACCTCCCTGTCCTGACTCCCACACCATTCATTCTAGGATTCCTTTTCTGTTCCTCTTCATTTGTCTAGACCTTACTCTTTCTTCAGCGCTGGCCCTTAAGAACCTTCCTGCACACTCTCCCACAGCTGCCTTAGCTACAAGGGACCCCTCTTCACTGCCTGAGTCCTTCACTCAGCATCTAGTGTCTGCTACCTGTTCTTGTTAGTTCTGGCTTTCAGAACAAATCGGAGCACATCAAACAAAGACAGGTGCTGTTCTTGCTAATGCCGCACCCTTACCGCACCGGCAGGGACCTGTCATATTCCACAGGCACCAGCAGCTACAATGCCATCGTGGGAGTCATGAGACCTGGCCTACCCAAGGTGGTGGTGGGCCCCAGCTGCTCATCCATTATAGGAGAAGAAAGTCTGGGAAGATGATCTCGGAAGTGCTGTTCAGACCTAAGATTCTGTGTGTGTGTTGGGGGGGGGGGAGTTGAACTGACCATTCATTAATATTGCTGTGAAATCATTTTTTTGCCCTTTAGCTTTTTCACCTAAGACCTATGTCTAAGACTAAGCAAAAAAATGGGTGATGTTTGGAGAACACGTTATAAGAGGAATTTGTAAGAATAGTCACTTTGAGAGAACAAAATGCAGAAAACAGTTTCCCATTTCAGCAGCTAATGGTGGGCTGAGCATCTGGGGCTACCACTGGACTAGCGATCACAGCTGGGCACACCTGTGTTCTGCAGGAGATGACCCCTAGTAGAAGGGGAGATAAAGGCAGCATTTGAGGGGCAGAGAAGGAATCTCAAGGAGTTTCTTCTGTGATTCTGGCAAGAAGGCATTAGCCACGAGGCTGCAGAAGTTAATCTAAGTGGACTGAAATGACTTTAGAGTAAGGGTGGGTCCTACCCTTGGTGTGTATAGTTGAAGAGGCAAGGAATAAGCCTTAGACTGACCTCATGTTTGAGAAGAAATGCTTTCATTTCACTGAATACACTCATTCAAAGAAAGGCAGGCATATGGCCAACCCATTTCTCTACTGCTTCTCACAACTCCCAGGGCAGCAAAGGCCCAAAGAGAGGCCTTGCGCACCCAGGAGACATTTCACGGAGCTGGTTATATTTAGCTGTTTTCATATCAATTTGGTTTTCATGCTCAATTTTTCTACTTGGAAAGAGACATCAGGTTTTACTCTCCCTACCTTGGAGTGCAATGAGGAGAGGCAGAGAAGTAACAGAGAAAAGAGAGTGGAGACTCCTGTGGAACACATCTCCTAGACAGAGGACTTGGAGACAGGGAGGAAAGTTAAAGGGTGACTTGGATATAGTGAGTCCTGAGGTTTTTATAAAACATTTTCAGAACATTTCAAAGTTAGCATTTAGAGAAGCCTTCAGACATCTGGACAACTAACCTCCTTTTTTTGGATCTGCAAGAGGCTGGGACTCACAGTCTATGCTCTTTCCAATGGACCAAGTTCCCCTAACTTCCTCTTTAGGCTGGCTTCAAGTTCTTGGCTCAGTGAAAATATTTTCAGCCTTGACCACCTGCAGACAGTCGTTCTATTCCCCACAATTCAAGTGCACAGTGAAAGGAGCAAAAAGGAACCAAAAGCAGTTCTGAGACCAGACAACTTAGTGGTTACGTTTTGTGCCATCAACTGAGCGAGGGAGGCAATTTATCCCGATTCCATTTTTATTTGTTTCTTGGTGTAAAGCATGGGTCTAGAAGTCTCTTTTCACTGTCTCACTACTGACAGTGAAAACATAAGTCACAAAGGCATTAGCAAAACACGTTTGCTTTCAGTTCTTCTATCATCACCAACGCTCAGCAGATCCAGAGACACCCTGGGTTGAGCGGCTGAACAGCTGGAAGCCTTATAACAAAATAGTGGGACAACTTAAACATGCAGGTTGGGTAAGAATCTGTCGGGGCCCAAGTGTCAAAGCTGGGCTCTCTACCTGGATTTAAGTTTTTGGGAAAGTCTTTTTCTAACTTAGGCATCTCAGGCCAGAGGAGTGATCACCCCTCCAAGGAGACCAGCCTGGCATTAGAAGGTACCCACAGAACCTGAGCTCAGTGGGGAGGGTAGATGGAGCCTTGAGTTGGAACCTCATTCACTCTTGGAAGTAAAGAAGCATGAGTAACCAGTTTGTAAAAAAAGCTGCCAATAGGAAAACAACAGCAGATGAAAAAGAAGTCAATGAGCGGTCCTTCCTGAGCAAGGCCTCTGCCTCGGAATGGCATGGTCCCTAAGCATTGCAACCTGTCTTGGTCACCTGAAGTAGGTTAGGTGGTTAACTGTGAATACACAGAAGAGTGACCAGAGGCAAGATGTTACCCAAATTCATTTGGGTAGGAAAGATGTTACCCAAATTCATTTGTATTTCAGATTTTTAATTTTAATCCTTTATATAGGTGGTTCCTAAATTATACCCTGTATTCTCTAAGGCCTGTAGGTTTTGTTTGCATTGTTTAAAGAGTTTTCTATGTGTTGCCGTACAGATTCTACGATAGCTTTTTCAGGGGCCTGGTATAGGACTAAGTTGTTATGGAAAGCGTACATGCATCAGAAGTTTCTACATGAGCACACAGGTAACATGTAAATGAAAGGCTGAGGCTATTGAATATGAAGTCTCTGCTGTCAGTGCTAGCTACCAGTTCACACAATTGCTTATTAAATTAATGATCTTGGAATCTCAACTCTGAAAGCTACTTACCTTGGCTATTATGATTCACCAGGATGTTATAATAACCCCTGCTAACTTGCACATCACGATTTGTGTTACAGGTTGCACCTCCCTCCTACTGGGCTTGCTGTGTACTGAACACTGCTCAATTTTTCGTCATTTCCATAAGGCAGAACTTTCTTTTCCTCCTCTGAGTTCTCAGATTTACCCCTTCACATTTCCATGCAGGAAAATTTCACTCCTGGTTCAAATAAATACATAGCACAGTACCTGGTCTCTGCTGCGAGTGATCCTCTCAGTCAGCAAATCCGAGTTACTTCTCTCTTCCTCCAGTTCCATCTCCAGTTGAGAAATCTTGTCCTAAGAAAGATAATACAAACTCAGTTTTACTTAACTTGCATGGCTCTATTTTAGGAGCAGGCTTTGCTGCGTGGAAGGAAAACCCCACTGGCAGATGAGAACTACTATTAGGATTTGGGGAGAGGATGCAAATATGTCTTACACTGACCAAAGCTGATGTTTTAAAATAGTTTCATTGCTTCTATGGAATGGAAGATGTAATTGTGGACATGGAAAATACAAAAAAGGAGAATAAATATTACCTCAAATGTTCATAAACATGTTAGCATGTTTCCATCAACACCCTTATAAATCAGTAACTTTAAAAAGATCTGCCTACACTGGTTATGTGTAAAAGATAAGGTGGGTGCCTCTTGTTCAAGGCACATGTCTGTACACACTTCATGCTCCAGCCAGTGATTTATTCTCTCCTACTCTGCTTCTAGGAAGGAGCCTGGCAGGAGGGAAGTCTCCAGCAGCCTTTTGCACCCCTTTCTCTTAGAGAACTGCTTAGTTAGCATCATGAAGTACTGAATCTGCTCTGGGTACATGAGGAGGGGCCCATTCTGCTACCCCAGTCACCATAGAACAATGAATGACAATTAGTGTTTTCCTTGCTGGCTCCTATCTTAACATCATTGAGTGCTACGAGAAAAGCATTTCAAAGCCACTTTGTGTATGGAAAAAAAAAAAAAGAGGTTCTGAATACAAACCACCCCACCTAAAAAAGTGGGGAGCAGTGGGGTTGATTCATATGCTGTCTCCAACTAATTTGTGTCTGAACCACACACACTGAAGAGCAATCAGCATTGAGTTTTTTGAAATCAGCCTGCAGCATTTGCACATAAACATCATCTCTGCAATGGGCAAATTGCTAACAAGTTATGGATGCCTCTGTAAGCACCAAAAATAAAAACCTTATGTGAATGAACTACCGATTAGTAACTGAAACCTCCAGGGAAGCTAGTCATCTCCTCCCAGGGAATCCCAGCTCAGAACCTAGGGCCGGGTCCCCCACACAACCTCCCAGGAGTTTCTGACTCCTCCTGGCCAACTTCACCCTAGTTAGCAATCACTAAGGAGCCATATCCTGAGTTTACATAAAGCAACCACCTGAATTTCTGAGTTTGTGTGGAAAACGCCCACTGCTGAGAATCAATTCACTTGTTAAGTGCCAGTGAAGGAACAGGCACCACATGAGGCAGTCTCTGCTCAGGGAAGGAGACACCCCTCCAGCGAGTTCACAGAGGTTGGGGTCTTGACATTAATGGAGAAATATCTAACATACTGCATAGGGGCAGATGAACCACAACGCTGTCACTGCTTCTGGATCTCCACTTAGCAAAAATATTTGGATGTTTGCTTAGAAGATAACCAGACAACCCAATCTTCAGCTAAAGAATCTCTTCAGAGGGTTCTCATCCTGCCTAATAGCTGCACAGACCCCAGCAGGGGTTGAGGAGGCCAGTCCAGGCTTAATTACACCAAAAATTCTCACCCCACTGCCTGAAGAGCCTTTAGCTTGCTTTTCATCAGATTGTTTGGGCTCTCAAATAATCAGTTTCTAGTTAACTGGGGTGGCTTCAGTGTACCTGCAGAGAACCTACCCTAAAGAGGTTAGAACCGGCCCTCCTTGGTGGCGCAACGGGTTAAAGCACAGCACTGAGAATCTAAAGCCGCTTCCGCATGAGTTCAATTCCCGCCTGCCCCGGAGGTGACCACATGGTGTGGCAGACCTCTCCTGACCCACCCGCTGCTCCCCTCAGCAGTGTACTTCGTCGATCTGCCTGTTCTGTTCCCCACTCTGTCTCTGGTGAAGCCTCTCACTGCCTCGGTACCTCTGGCCGTACCCCAGTTCTGTATGCATAAAAAAATCTTAAAAAAAAAAAAAAAGAGGTTAGAACCAGAATATTAGCAAAATAGACAGCAATCCTACCAAAGAAAAATAAAACTAGCCAGGTTATTTTGGGCTCTGTAAAGGGCCCATCTAATAAAATCTTTAGTGGTTGAAACATCACTCCTTGATCTAACCTGCTACTCAGTGCCCTGGAGGTTATTTCTATTTATTCACAAAGTTGAGTCAGGAATTCTATTGATTTTAACTTTAAACTTTCTCTCCCTGACCTTGAACACTGTCTGTCTTTTATCAAAACCTTGACAATTTAACTTCTGCCCTAAGTCTGGATTTATTTTTAGGTCTCTGTCTCTAAATTCTATTGGGGTGTGTGGGTGTTTCTAGTTGGGGATAGATTTGGTTCTTAAAGATTATTCTTTTTCGGTAAGTTTAGGGGACTGATATTAACCTCCTTGTCATTCTCGGTAGGCTGTTCACATTTAGATTCTATCCTTGATTCACCATTTTCTAATTTCATTATGACCAGACCACCCCCAACCGGTCACTCCACTGACACTTTTTTGGACTCTGCAAAGGAATTGAGCCACAGTTTGCTTCTGGCTTTGGCACAGCTTGATCATCTGTGTTAAACAGGCCAGAAATCAGGAAGCAAGAAGGGAGCCTGTGGTGTGGCAAATGAGCCCTGGGTGTCCCTAGTTCAACAATTCCAGTCCAAGGGCGGCTGAGCCCCCCTGTGGCTTTACAGCAGTGTGAATCCTTTGTAGCTGGAGGCACCATCCACAGTGGAAAAACAGAAAATGGACTGTGTGCCCCTATGTAAAATCACCTACTCTCGACCCATCCTGGTGGCACAGCGGTTTAAAGCACAGCACTAAGAAGCTAAAGCCACTTCTGCATGAGTTTGATTCCTGCCTGCCCCGGAGGTGACCCACATGGTGCGGCAGACCTCTCCTGACCCGCCCGCGGCTCCCCTCAGCAGTGTACTTTGTCGATCTGCCTGTTCTGCTCCCTACTCTGTACCTGGTGAATCCTCTCACCCTCCGCATCTCTGGCCAGTACCCCAGTTCCATATGAATAAATAAATCTTTAAAAAAAAAAAAATCACCTACTCTCTTAGGTCTGTTCTATTGCCTCTTCAAGATAGTGAGGACAGGCTAAAGTCCATCATTCCTTGTGGCTCTGATGTCCTAGGAGTCTATGAACTTCTAGATTGCTCCTCAAATCAAGAAATGACCTTACTAATGTCTGGCTGTCGAGGGAATGAAGACTTTCCAAAGGCAGAAAGGTTCTTCCCTCCTACCGCCCACTACCCTCCACAGGCCCCACTGCACACCCCTGTAACCCACAGACCTCCATCTGCTTGACAAGTCTGCTGCGGTCATCTTTCAGGTGACTCTTAGCTTCTAGCTCGTACTCCAGGTCCTTCAGTGTCTGCTCCAGAAGCTGCCTTTTTGTGAGTGCCTCAGCCTGGGACCTCTGGTAGTCCCGTAACTCTTCCTCCATCGCTCGCATCTAGAAGGTAAGCAGGTGGGTTGGTTAAGCAGAGAGACCTTGGCTGACCCCAAGATCCCCAGGTGAACCCTCATCATCTCATACATATTGGAGATAAGAAGACACTGAACAAGTGCCATATCCCTATGGGATAAAAGACACTGAACAAGTGCCATATCCCTATGGGACTCAGTTCCCTTCTTGAGAAAAAGGAGTTTTCTACACACAGGAGCAAGTCGAATTATAAGGTCAATTTAGATGTGAACCACTATTTTTTTATTTTATAACAATTTTTACATCATTTTGTACATTTCAATTGTAATCCCTTCAGGTTTCCCATTACCAAGTGACCCGTGTGGCATCACCATAATTCTGTGCACTTCCCTCCCCACCCCCCCCATTCCCTACTCCACCCCCACAAAATGTCTCTGGTATATGGTTGTTCATTATTCTTGTTATTTTCTCGCCTGGTCCATTATACTCCTGCTATGAGTGAAACCATCTGGTATTTTTCTTTCTCTTTCTGGCTTATCTCACTAAGCCTGATCTTTTCCAGCTCCATCCAAGTTGCTGCAAAAGACATGTGTTTCTCTTTTTTGGTTGCTGAGTAATATTCCATTGTATATATGTACCACCTCTTTTTTATCCAGTCATCCACTTTTGGGCATTTGGGCTGCTTCCATGTCTTTCCAATTGTAAATAAATCAGCAATAAACATGGGGGTGTAGGTATCTTTTTCAATCAGTGTTTTTGTGTCTTTTGGGTAGATACCTAGGAGTGGGATGGCTGGGTTGTAGGGAAGCTCCATGTTTAGCAGTTTGAGGAACCTCCAAGTAGTTTTCCATAGTGGGTGAACCACTATTTTTAAGTTCGCTGATACTGTGACATAAAAGTTTAGTACTAGATCCTCACATACTGGTATGGATGTGGCCAGCAGCGCCAACACACACTTCTTCCCACAGGTCATGGGCAAAAACACCTGAAAGCCATTGAACTAGATGAGTGTTGTCACCAATTTATTGCCCACCTGTATCAGCATCATCTCAACAGAGATCTAAATTTAGGGGGGAGTAAAAACTAAATGACCCCAAGCAAACACACTTTGGTGGAATTTAAATTATACACAGAATTGAATAATACAGTTTACCCATTATGTGAAAGACATTGCTCTCTGGAAGAAAAATCCGGGATCGGCTGTCATCATTTACAGTGTTTTTCTTTTCATCCACAAGATGGCACTGAACTAATAGCTTTGAAGGAGTTTGATTCAAAACGGATTATCTGTATTTTCTCTTTGTCTGGAATCTCCCTGAAGGGACCAGTCAGTGGCTTCAGCATAGATTAGGTATTCTTTAAGCATCTGTGTGGACTGATCTGGTGAAGCCCACGGCTGGCTGTCTGGTTCTTAACTCCCCACCCTCCTAGAAATGATACATAATTAATCTTGGGCACAGACGACAGAGGGCTTATTTCCTACAGGGAGTATATCATAGTGAGAAATTCTAAGAAAGAACAACATCCTTTGGGAATGATTGTCACAGAAAAGCCCTCAGAGAGTCTTTTTTTTGGGGGGTGGGGGGTCCAGTAAGATTAGGCTAATTTAGAAAGACTAGTGGGCAAACTTTAGGAAATGTGTTCCACTTTCAAGGCTGACAGAACACCTGAGATTTTGGTGAGAACAGTTTTTGAAGGACACATGGCCAGATGAAGACCCTGGTCTGCTTTCAGTAGTGACAAAGTGACAGTTGTCCCATGAAAAAATGGATAATGGAATATTTTTTGGATTCAGAGGATGTATTACATTCCACAGCATTAAAAATTTATCTGAAATAAAGACATAATAATAATAATGTTTCTCCCTGCAGCAGTTTCCTTTTTGCTATACTGGGATAACTATAAAACCTACCTTACAGAACCACTGAGAGACTCCAATGAGATAATACCAAAAAAGAATGTGGGTTTCAGAGCCATACTAGGATCCTTTCCAGTGCCCAGAATATTCCTACCTCCAGTGTCCAGTCCAGCACATCCCTCAGACATTAGCAAGGGCGATGACATACTTAGTAATGACTAAGGACACGCACATAACTATTTTAGTGCCTGGACTCAACTTCTGAACCCACTACTAGTGCTGCCTTATAAATAGTTAAATCCAACCCTTGCTAAGTGGGATTTAGAAAATCAATTGAACAGCCTTGAACTTTAAGTCTTAATTCTCTAAAGAACATCATCATCAGTTTTCTAACTCTACTTCAAAGGAAATCAGTAAAATGTCTATTTCTCTCACAGCAAAGAAGGTAAGGAGTTAGGATGAGTCCCTGTAGCTTTTTTGGGGGGTTGGGGGTGGGGCTCAACCGAAACAGGGCAGGCAGTGGTGAACAAAGCTGAGTTTGAGTTTTTCAGGGACCCAGAGTGACCTTGGCTTATTAATTTATTTACTTTTGTTTTAAACAACTCCAAGACTTTAGTAACTTGATCTGGGGTGGAATCTAACTGGTAGTTTTCTTGGAGTGTGATAATGGGTCCTTTCTTGCCATTCAAATGGGAGCAGTGTCTGCACAGGCTGAGACACTGAGAAAACCTAAAAAAAAGTCAACTCTTTCTCATGGTCTCTATAAACAGGGCTGTTTTTCATCTGGCCTTAACTAATTTCTGGGGATTGTAGTTTCCTTATCTAACTAGGAGATCTATCTCTAAGGTTCTTTCCAATCTGAAGATTCTAGCCGAATAGTTGTACAAAAAAGCAAGAGGAAGCACTTTTCAGGGGTCACTGTGCCACTGATTTTTCAAAATCAAAACAGCAAGCCAGGGGTTTGTTGGTATTCAGGCAAATGTGTGAATCTCCTCACTCCCACCCCCATTTGCTATATAAATTGGCTTTTTTTTTAATGCCAGAATGATCTCTGATGTCAATATGTTCATTTCAGTTCCTACTTGGGGCTCTGTATCATATGACCCTGAATCACAGCAGACCTGTTAGCAGGGTCCTTTCAGATGTATTCTAGAAGGCTGTAATAAATATCCGTTGTTCTTTTACACAGGTTTAACAGTGACTTGTGAAAACTTTTCTTTGATCATCAAAGATATTAAAAGTTTGTTTAAAAGAAAAACTTATTTTCCTGTGGAATCTTAGTGCTCTTGGCACAAAACTTATGAAAAAAAAAAAACCTAGAATGAGAGTGTCTGAGATAATATAGACCCTCTACTATAAAATTTCACACTATCTCAATTATTAAATAATTATGTTTAAAAGGTAGAAACAGAGGCTCAGAAAATTGGGATAATTTGCTCAAGGTCATCCAGCTGGCAAGAGAGGAAGCTAAAAATCAGCATATACTGAACTTGCGTTTTGGCGCCTTCAGCTTTCCATTACAATAATCAAAACCAGCCCCTCTATTTTTCTCAGTTCTTTAGAAGTCAAGAGTGAAGGGAGCTAACATTTGGGCTATTATGCTCTATTTATTCTCAAATATAAAATCAAAAGTATGTTTTAATAATTTCAGACTGAAATTCCTAAGGATTTCTTTTGTTTCCATTATTGTAGTTCTGAAACCATTCTCATTCCAGTAGAAGTCTACATTTTCTAAATGAATTGGCAAAAAACCAACTGGTTTTTATAAGTGTTCTAGGATTAAATTAAAACATCAATATATACAACCCATTTAATTTCACCTCAGATGGATCTTCTGTGTCTCAGAATGCGAGTTCTCCCAAAGAATAAGACTAAAGAATCAAGTACAGTCACTGTGGTAAGAGTCTATCCCATGTTTCTCCTAGAAGAGCTGCAAAGCATTCTGGAAGGACACTAGAAAAGAGGTAAACCAGGGCCTTATCTGGCCAGAAATTACCTCATCGTGCATTTTCGTGGCTGCCAGACGGGACTTTTCTGCCTCTAGGGTTTTCTCCTTCAACTGCCTTTGCATTTCTGCAAGCTCCCTGCGATTTTTCTCCTTGTACTCATCCAGCTGGTTCTGGAGCTCCAGTGTTGATGTCCGGGACACTTCGACAATGTCGGCCATCTGGAAGAAGTGACAGGGGGTGAGCCCACCCTTGTATACTCCAGTTGGGGCTACGGAGCCAGGCCCAGGTCCCTTTCAAACATGGAACAAACCTCCTTTTCCAGCCACCCCAGAGGTTTTGCAAAGGACACAGCAGAGAGAAGTGGATCAGCTCATCCTTCTGAGCCAGATACCCAGCTGCAGGTATCCGTGCTCTGCCACTTCTCAAACTGGGGCCTGTACTTAACTTCTCTGGGCCTTAGAGGCTCTTACAGGTTTGTCAAAATCAAAGCATTCTGTAGATATAGAGAGGATTTCAGTTAGACGCAAAATACAAAGTCAAGTCATTGGCCAGAGCAGATGACAGGCACTCGTGCTGGCTTCTTGAAGCAGAAAGCCCAGCAGCGTCATGCCTTCTGAGTATTTTGAGTCAGAAATGAGCAACAATCACTGGCCTCTGAAACTGCCTTTCACAATCCTGGTAAAATATGATAGGTGCAGTTGCATATGTTATATACACAAATCCATAAATTGGATAACATCTGTTGAGGCCACATTTACAAGCTAGGTTTCTTCAGATAACTGTGGAGAAGAGCTAGGCCCAGAATCCAGAGCGTCCTTGGCCTTTATTTTTTCTAAACCAGCTTCACTGTATCTGGGACTCTTAGTCCAAAGAACTGCTTCAAGGACCTGCAAATTCCTGTCACATTTGTGCAGTCACATAGATGCAGGAGAGCTCCCCTGAGGCTCACAGAGGGAGCTGGTCCTGACCCATGATTTCTGCCCCTCCCCCTCCTCCTCCTGCTCCCTCACCTCCTTCTGTAGTTTCTCAATGGTCTTGTCAAGATGCCATCGCTCATTCTCCATTTCATTCTTCAGTCGCCTTAACTGCTCCTTCTGCTCAGCCTCATCTTTTAGCTTCTCAGACAACTGCTTCTGCTCCAGGGTGGCCCGGCTCAGATTTCTCTGCAGATGGCAGGAAAAGGACAGGGCAGTCACCAAACAGGTGGCAGAGGGGTGTTCACAGCCACATCACAAAGCAATGAGACCTGTCACATAAGTGATAAAGTAGAGAGACAAAAAAGAAACCTCCACAGGATTGAAATCATTGGTTCTGAAATTTAGGGACTAAAATGCAAAGTCGACTTAATTGAAATCATCCAGTGGAATGCAGGGGCCCATAAAGTATAGATTACAGAAAAGAGTCAAGGCTGCTGGGGGTGGAGATAAAGGATACATCTCCTGACCATGCTCATAAATCGAGACAACATTATAGCTTAGACTCACCTAAACCTACTTGTCAATGTATATCCTGTGATACACAGCATTATACCACAGGTTCTAGAATTTCTTTTGCTATGCAGATGATTATTAGAGTAATTACAAATGAATTGATGGGGTGCTCACTGCCCCTAGGCCAAGTCTACCAGGGCGTCATCCCTAGATTCCATGGGGCAGATTCATATACAGAAGGAATCTGGCAGTCCCTGCTCTTGGAAGGTAGAAGGTATTAAACAGACGATCACACGAGTCAAAATAGTGCAAATGAGTGGCTATTTAATGAAGAAGCACCAAATTCTAAAACTTGGCATAAAATGCCACCATTGTGGCATGTAAGCTTTATGTGAGCAACATGCAATTCTCAAAACAAAATCCGAAAGTATCTTAGGAAGGTGATGGTGGCTTCTTGAAATGGCTCTGTGTAGGGGCCACTGATGTGACAACATCAAGGAGAGGCATTCTTCACTGAGAATGGAGAATAACCCCATCACAACTGGATGTCCAGAAAATGTGACTGGGTAGAGAGAGAGGAAGTGGGTGGGTACAGGAGCAGCACAGGGCCCACCAGCCTTACTCCCATGGAGGCTGCAGAAGAACAATGACTTACACTGGCACAGTGCTTAACAGTTTACAAGCTGCTGTCACATGCAGGAACTCTGGCATCTTGAAAACTCTCCCAAATCACTTCAGGCACTCCTGGTTTACAAAGTATAGGAAAGCTCTCCCGGTCAACCTCGTGACCTGGGGCCAACACCACCAGAGGCCTACCAGTCCCTCGACTCCAAGCTCTGAGAAGCAGCCACACAGCCAGACTGCTGATGGAACCAAGGTCAGACAGCTGCAGGGAACCAAGGTCAATGGAAGTGACTGTGGGAGTGAGAGGGGTGGTGACCAAGGGAAGGCAGTCAGAATTACAGCCTAGGGGTGGGGGGGATCAGCAGGAGTGTGTCCCACCACCGCCCAGGGGGCACATACTATAGGAACGGTGAGAACCTCTGAAATGTGTGTTTGTGGTCCACTGAGTGTGATGGGAGCCAAGTGAGAGCGCAGGGTAAGGTAAGGGAGTTAAAGTTGCATTGTGGGGGAGAAGCTCTCTGAAACAGGCTTCCCCAAAATATTATTTCTTGAAAAACAGAAAATACAGGGGACCATTAATGGTTCTCCATAGAACCTTCATGACCCAAATGAGCCCTTATCCTTATCCTTACAGCTCCCGCCACCCCCCTTTCCTCCTTCTGAGTCCAAATCCCAGACAACCATCTGGGGAGCAATTCAATCTCAACAGTTTGTTCTGCTCCCCCTTTGCTCAGCAAGGGCTTCCCATCAGGCCCTGCTCTCCTATGGGCGACACCCCGCAAACTTAACCCCTCTGGGCCTGGCCAACATTCTGCCGCCTCCCATCCTCTCAACATGTACATGATTTACCTAGAAGAACAGTTCTGCTAAATTATTTTAAACTCTTTCTTTTATGCTTGCCTCTATTATAGGTAGTAAGACCTATAAAAGCAAGGACTAAATCTGAAATGCCTCATGGCCCAGATAAACTATTATGTTTATATATAGTAAACACTCACTGGTGGAGAATTAATGCCTAGATTCCTTACCTCAGAATCACGAACAAGTATGTAGTACTCGCTCTTTACTGAAAATCAGAGTCTAGCCTGTTCTGATGGACTCACAATTTTATTTACAGTGGAGCACACCAATGCTTCTTCTAAAGTTACCCTGATAATTCTAATACAAAGTTTATAAGCTGTTTGAAACAATACTCTTTCTTCAGTTATACAGGAAAATACATTCTAGTAAGTCACGACTGAGAAAATATGTCCCAAATTCACACAAAAACAAGCAAACTTGGTGAGGCTGTGCCTATGGGTTAGGAGTGAAATGTTCCTTGGCCACAAACTATTTCCAGTACCAGCAACACAAGCACATTGACTAACGCCGGGACAAATTTGGTGAAAACTAATAAGGTCAGAGAATCTGAAACAGAGTTGATAGGCTTATAGTGAGTACCCTTGCCCTGGGCCTCTGTCAATGAAGGCAGAACCTTTTACTGCATGTGAGTAAGGCCCCAGTTAGTCCCTATTAGCAGTGACCGAGAAGCAGGTGAACCTATGGGCTTGGAGGAGTGAGAGGCTTGGCAAAAAGGAAGCTGGTCTTCTCGAGGCCTGGCCACAGTAATGGCTGGGCTGAAACAGTGGACGCTTGCGGACTTTGTTCTTTGGTTGTCTCCATACTCGGGGGGTGAAGGCATCCAGGATCAGCACCACTGTCCACCCCTGAAGGAAAGAACTGGGCATCTCCAGAATAGGTTTCTCCAGCTCCCCAGGTGTGGCAGTCCTTTCTCGAGGAAACCTCGAGGCATCTCTGCCCTGAGTGCATCCAGGTGGATCTAGACTGACAGTGAGCAATCTTACACCAAGCTGCAGAGGGAAATAAAGCCCAAAATGGCATCTTGGTGACCACAGCCACTTTCTGCCTGAGCCATTGAAAAACAGAATGTGGGCCCTCCCTGGTGGTGCAACAGTTTGGAGCTAGCTGCGGCCGCCTCCACTTACGCTCAATCCCACATGGCGCAGAAGACCTCTCCTGTCTCACCCTCTGCTCTCCTCAGCAGTGTACTTCAGTTAATCTACCTGTTCTGCTCCCCATTCTGTCTCTGGTGAAGCCTCTCAATGCCCCTGCACCTCTGGTCTGTACCCCAGTTCTGTATGCGTAAATAAATCTTAAAAAAAAAAAAACAAAACAGGACGCAAGCTCACATGATCTTCAGCTAACATGTAAAGAAATATGTATCATGCATGAAGATGCAACAGATTGCTACAGGCACAAAGATTTTGAAATGTAAAATGCTTGTGCAAGAACAATAGTCATTCTTTTCTTGTCCTCAGAATTAGGCTCTCTTGTGGTTGCCAATTTTGGGGAGATAAGCAAGCAGGAGGAGTTAGTAAACTAAAGGAAATGACCACCTGCACACATCATGAAGCTGCTCTTGAGACTACATATAGACAGTGAGATTACTGGCCCTTTCCAAATTCTTGCCAATTATAAGCCAGTGGTTAGTTAGACTGGTGTTCTCACCATCTCTATACCCCGGGCAAAATAGACCTGAACAAAAGTAACATGTCAGGGGCAAACTCCTAGACAAAGACGGAGAACTGGCGTGCAGATGACAGTAAGATTCTTTATGGCCATTGTCTGTTCTCTCCCTGAACTGTGAGCTGCATATTCATAGATGTGCACTACTCATGCATAGAACCTTCTGGTTTGACCAAAAGACTATAAAGAATTTCTGAGAACTCCAATGGCTTCACCCAGCACTGTGGATGTGACACAAAGATGAAGCTTGCTGCCCCAGCGAGCACAGACACTTCCCCTTTTTCTGTGCCCACGTAGCTGACAGACTTCAACCCTGCATTTGGGCAGCTCAGTTGAAACCACCACAAACAAGCCTTAAACAGCAGCAAGTGAAATTCCTGTTCACACAAAATCAACAGAACAAATGTTTGCTACATAGATCAAGACTTCAATAAAAGAGACATCCAAAGCCAGGAGAGTTAGACAGCTAATTGAGGGGGAAAAGAGGGCTTTACTGTTTGGGAAATCAAGTTCCTTGCCCAAATCTAGAAACAAGGCACAGCTTACTGATTTTGGGGTGTGAGCCCGGAGTTATAGCTGAAGTGAGTACAGCTCAGTATATTCAGATTTCTCTCTGCTACCCCCAGAAGGTAAAAAGCTCCTGTGGAAAGGAAGGCTACCATCAGAGTTGTGAATCCTGACTCTGGACTGCACCTGGTTCTGACCATGTTGATGGACCCCACTCCACCCCAAGCCCCCATCACTTCCAAGAGGCTTGTAATGGAAAACTAACAGCCCTCCTCTTAGACAAGTGTGCACAAACACCAAGCCCGCGAAGGGAGGGTTGGCGCTAGCTCTTTAAAACCTGAGAGCAGGTAACTGAAGGACATACCTGGATCACAATGAGGTCACTGGGCAAATAAATTCACAAGGCAGTGTAAGCATTTTTAAAGAAAGTACTTCAAACAATCTTAACCGTCAAATGGGAAAATCTAATTTTCTAAGAATCTATTGATTTGGAAGGGAGATAACCAGCCAGTTTCAAGGAAATGACTTCCTCAGCTCCTTGAATAGCCATCTGAAGGCCTGCATTCTGGAGCATATTTGCCCGAGGGAGAAAGGAAATTGGCTTCTGCCAGAGAGCTGACCCCACACTGCCTTGGGACCCCTGCACCTCTCCTACCAGTCTCCTCACACAATTCACATTTCATCTTTGAAAAGCTGTCAAGTTCTTTAATGTCCACACCAGGGTTTCTCAAGCTTGGCGCTACTGACACTTGAGGTCACATGATTCTTGGCTGTGGGTACCATCCTGTGCACTAGAGGATGTGGAGCAGCGGCCAGGTCGTCCCCCTACTAACACCTACTAGTTGTGACAATCAAACGTCCCCAGACATTGCCAAATGCCCCCAGTGCAGAACCACTGGTCTGGGTGGACAGCTGGCAGCAAGTAGTTACTGGTATGAAAGGAGCTATCTGGATGACAACCAGTACCCCTCCTGTTTTGCTTCTCTGGGCTTCTCCTGTGGGGAGTAAGGACCAAGTCCTCAGTGCTTACCTGAGCATCTTCCAGTTCACTCTCCAGGGTCCGTTTGGTTGCCGTGGCTTCTTTTTCTTCCTTTTTTGCATGCCCGAGGGCCTCTTCTAATTCCTGAATTTCTGCCTACAATGAAACACACAAGATCAGCATGTGCTCAGGTATGTGCTGTGTCTATGAAGGTGGCATGAGAGGAACATGAGAGACAGCTGCAGACACCAGCAACCATGGTTGTGGTCCCCACTTGCCTGTCTGGACACCCAATGGCATCGTGTTCTCCAGTACATGTACCTGCCTGCAGTTCCATGTTTAGACCGACGTGAAAATCCAAATCATCTGGGATGAGATTTTTAAAACAATTTTTTAAAAAATATATAAATATCCAGCTGCAGAGACTGAAAGCCCTCCAGAGGCTCTGAAGGATAACCATTTGGGGAATCTCTGCTGCAATATATCTGCCTTTACATTTTTCATGTCAGCTGCTATTTCATCGTCATTAGTGTATGCCTCTTGCTGACAGCCTCCCACTCTCAGAGATCTGGCGAACCAGATTAATTGGTTTGTTAAAACTTGTGTGACTTCCGAACCCAACAACTATTTGTTTAAAAAAAAAAACAAAAAAAACTAATAGGGCTCTCCCTAGTGGCGCATCAGGTTAGAACTCCACACTATGAAGTTCGCAGAAGCCACTGCAGCACGAGTTCGATCCCCAACCAGGGAGCTGACCCACATGGTGTGGCAGACCTCTTCTGACCCACCCACTGTTCCCTCCAGCAGTGTGTTTCATTACATCTGCCTGTTCTGCTCCCCACTGTCTCTGGTGAATCCTCTCACCCACATCTCTGGCCTGTACCCCAATTCTGAAAGCATAAATAAACAAATCTTTAGGGCCCTCCCTGGTGGCACAGTGGGTAAATGCAGCACTAAGAAGCTAAAGCTACTTCAGCATGAGTTTAATCCCTGGCCCCAGAGGTGACCCACATGGCACGGCAGACCTTTCCTGACCCGCCCGCTGCTCCCCTCAGCAGTGTGCTTTGTCGACCTGCCTGTTCTGCTCTCCACTGTGTCCGGTGAATCCTCTCACCCACCTCTGGCCTGTACCCCAGTTCTGTAAGCATAAATAAATCTTTAAAAAATAAATAAATCTTAAAAACAAACAACACTAATGAGTGAGAATCAGGCTGACAGTGGTGTTAAAATAGCCTTGGAGGCCTCTGCTAAATGCCAAAAGGTGCTCCAAGAGTGTCTGATGCCTGTGGGAGCTGGTTCCCTCCCATGCTGACTGCCCATCCTGATGGCCGCAGCCTGTTCCCAAGCCTCCCTGGCAGCTCAACTCTTGCTCGTGCCATTTGCAGACAAGAAAAAGAAATGGCTTACAGAGAAGACTTATCCAGTATTGCTTTGACCGTCCCTACAAAATCATGACAATAAATCCCTTCCTGCTGCTGAAATCTCTCACCCAGGAAAGACGCATCAGCAACTGCCAAACCTAGGCTCGGGCCCAGCAAGACTTACCTGGCACTTCTTGAGTAGTTCCTTCGCTTTGGCTTCATCGCTTTCCAAGTCCGCAATCTGCCTCTGAAGCTGAGTGACACTGCACTCCAGCTCCCCGCAGCTTCGCCGCAGCTTCTCGTTCTCCTCCTGCAGAGCCCTCACGCGCATTTCAGCATCCACCTGCGTCTGCTCTGAAGCATTGCTTCGACTGGCCAGGACCTCAACATTCTGTGAAAATCATGTAACCGTGTCAAAGGGCAGCCCCAAGCTCTGAGAATGACTGCCATTTATTAAGAACCCACTAGGTAATAGGCACTGGCTATTCCCAGGGTCAGCAAGCTACAGCCTGTAGCCAGGTCCTGCCCACCGGCAGTTGGTATTAATAATAAAGAGTTTCTGGGACCCAGCCACATCCATTCCCACTGCACACTGCAAGTGGCTGCCTGCATGCCACAGCAGCAAAGTGCTTGTGGCCAAGAACACAAGGCCTGTGGTACTGTGAAGCCTAAAGTATTTACTACCTGGCTCTTTCCAGAAAGAGTCTGTCAACCCTTGTCTGTGTTAAGCTACCCCCTACCATGTGCAGGGCCCCTCAAGAGAAGCTCTTGAAATCCAGGACACAATGGAAATTAAATTTTGCTTAGCCTATGATACTGTCCTCAGTGCAAGCTCTGGGCGCTATCTGTAAATGAGTTTGTGCTACATGTGGACTTTTTTCTCCCCACAATAGAAAAGAATGGTAACAGGGACCTCCCTGGTGGCACAACAGGTTAGGATGCAGCACTGCAAGCTGGCCACACCTGCTTCAGTGTGAGTTTGATCCACATGGCGCAGCAGACCTCTCCTGACCCGCCCACTGCTCCCCTCAGCAGTGTACTTTGTCGATCTGCCTGTTCTGCTCCCCACTCTGTCTCTGGTGAAACTTCTCACCACCCCTGCACCTTTGGCCTGTACCCTAGCTCTGTATGAATAAATAATCTTAAAAAAAAATCAATCTTTAAAAAAAGAAAGAAAAGAATGGTAACAATTCCAGATGGCATGTGAACCCTGGCAGGGGAAGGAGGAGTGGAACAGAAGGGGGGGTTTACTGAGTGGTAAGTGGCCTTGTCCAGAATCCTACCTTCCTGACAGCCTTTCACCTTTCATTTCCCTGCTGTCCACAGATAGTAGTGTCAGTTAATCTAATGCCCATGAAGCAGAGCTACAGGTGCCTACAAAGAAAGGCCCAGAGGAAGGCAAGATTCAGTTTCGCAAGCTTCAGCACAGCCCACTTGAGAGAGGTATCTGCTGGTACTGCTTGCAGAGCTTTTCAGAACCTTTTTTTTTTTTTTTAAAGATTTAAATATTTGTGCATACAGAGCTGGGGTACAGGCCAGAGGCTCAGGGGCGGTGAGAGCCTTCACCAGAGACAGAGTGGGGAGCAGAACAGGCAGATGGACGAAGTACACTGCTGAGGGGAGCAGCGGGCGGGTCAGGAGAGGTCTGCCGCGCCATGTGGTCACCTCCGGGGCAGGCGGGGATCGAACTCATGCAGAAGTAGGTTTAGCTTCTCAGTGCTGCGCTTTAACCCGCCCACTATGCCACCAGGGAGGGCCGCTTTTCAGAACTTTTAACAGTGCTGGAAGCAGTTTTTCCTGACCTTTACCAATTAGAGAGAGCTTCTAAAACCTTCTCTACATCTGGGAAATTCTGACAAAGCCAAGCTACTGAATTAGAATGGGGTGAGCTGGCATTGCTAGGAGAATACTATGATGCCTGACAACTGATATGTTATCAGAACTACTTTGATAACATATTTTATTGAAACCAGGGAGATGTGATGTGTGACTGAAAGCCTGATAAGGTATCTAAAGAATCTAAAAACTATGTGTAGAAAAAGAAAGAAAAGGCTCAGATTTTCCATTCCTACCCTACTTCTCCCATTAAAAGGCAAGGGATTACGCAGCTATAGTTATGGAGACAGCGTGTGTACAGGTATACACATAGAGCTTAACAGAATAGAATTGAGGATCCGAAAATAAACCCAATGTCTAACATGAATGCCAAGACCATTCAATGGGGAAAGAATCATCTTTTCAACAAATATACAGTACAATTGGCTAGCCACATGCAAAAGAAGAAATTGGGGCCCTTCTCACAAAAATAACTCAAAACGAATCATCCACTCAAATGAAAGATTTAAAATTATCAAACTCTTAAAAGACAACAGAAGAGTAAATATTTGTGACCATGGTATAAGCAATGGCTTCTTAGAAACACCACCAGAGGCATAGGTGATTCAAAAAGACATCAAGGTTAAAAGTTTTTGTGTTGCAAATGATATTATCTAGGAAGAAAAAAGTCAAGAATGAGAGAAAAACAATTCACATATCTGAGAAAGGACTCATTTCAACATTATACACAGAATTCTTCAACTCAGTAATAAAAATGAATGAATTAAAAATGGGCAAGGGGGCCCTCCCTGGTGGCGCAGTGGATTAAAGCACAGCACTGAGAATCTAAAGCCGCTTCCGCATGAGTTCGATTCCTGCCTGCCCCGGAGGTGACCACATGGCGTGGCAGACCTCTCCTGACCTGCCCGCTGCTCCCCTCAGCAGTGTACTTCGTCGATCTGCTTGTTCTATTCCCCATTCTGTCTCTGGTGAATCCTCTCACTGCCCCTGAGCCTCTGGCCTGTACCCCAGTTCTGTATGCACAAATAATCTTAAAAAAATAAATAAATAAATAAATAAAAATGGGCAAGGGATCTCAGTCAGCAGCATTAAAAAAAAGATACAAAATTCCAATAATCACATGAAAAGATGCTCAACATTATTAATTATGAGGAAATATACATCAAAACCATCATGAAGTGTCACTTCACAACCACTAGTGTGGCTATAATTAAATGGACAGATAATGCCAAGTGTTGGGAAGATATAGAGAAACTAGAACCCTTCTATGCTGCTGGGGGAATGTAAAATATGGTGTAGCCTCTTTGGAAAACATTTTGGCAGTTCCTCAAAATCTTAAACAGAATGAATAGAAGAAAGACCCAGCAATTCCACTCCTAAGTAAATACCCAAGAAAAATAAAAACATACCCACACAAGCAACAGAACATGAGTGTACAAAAATCTTCATAGTAATCCCAAAGTGACATTGAAAACTAAATGTGACCAATTAGTGAATGGGTAAAAAAATATACGGGATAGTCCTGCAACGGAATATTATTTGGCCCTAAAAAGAGTATTAATATATGATACAAAATGGATGAAACTTGAAAATGCTGTATTTGTAAAAGAAGCCAGTCACGAAAGGTCACATATTGACATTTATATGAAAAATCCAGAATAAACAAGCTGTCTAGAGACAGAAAGTAGAGGTGTGGTTGCCTAAAGCTGTACAGAAAGAGGAACTGGGAGTGGATACCTAAAGAACACGTTTCTTTGGGGGGGAGGGGGACAGTGATGAAGATTTCTGAAATTGACTGTAGTGATGCTTACACATCTTAACACATTAAAAACTAGTGGTATGTGTATTTTAAATAGCTAAACTGTATGGGTTATATGTATTATAGCTCAATACAGCTGATTATCTAAAGAGGGGAGAGAAGCCAAGGGAAATCCTGGAGACCAAAGTTAGGAGGCCATTTACCTCAGTGGTCTAAATTTTGCTGAGTGCTGAGACTTGAGACAACTCCCTAAATCTCTTGGTAAAGCAAAAAATGCTGGCTGGCACGTGTAGTCAGTGCTCTTCCATTCACCCAGAAACCTCAGGAATAACAGGGTATATCCTGAACACCAGATCTGGCTTAACCTGGATTTGTGTTTAGCTGGAATCTTGACTAAATAAGGATATTGAGCTGTGCTTTGAGGTTAGAACTTGGTATTTTCTGTTTGATAGTGTAGGGGCATGCTGGAAAGGATGAGAGATGGTATGCTAGGAGAATCAACAATGCGAGTTTTGTAACTCACCTCCGGCAGGCACCCAATGCCAGCTTTCAGTTTCACAGGCTGAGTGTGACCCAAGGGAGCTTATATGTGTTGACATACCCAGTCCTGCTTTGACTGCTTGTAAATGGGTAACCTGATTTCCTTGTGTCTTTGTAGTGTCATCCACATTATGTTTACAAATAAATTTAACATAAGCCTCTGTTTGCAAACTTTTCCAGAATCCTGGCCCCTATAAACACACTCAGGCCACTAGTTTATATATAGCGCACACGCAAAAATTTCTCTTTCCTGAAACCAGATGTAAATCACCTGCAGCAGTCCTGAAATTGAAAGCAAATAAACAAAAACACACAACTAAAAATCTCGCCCCTTTGTTCAAGGCAAGTCCTTTATGCAAGTTCTTCTCCATGACATTCCAGTGAAGAAAACTAGTCTAAGAGGACCTCCCAAAGCCTTTCCAACTCTGAAATTCTTTGATCCGTGCATCATCTCTTCCAAAGGCTTGTTTTATCTCATGAATGTGGCCAGGGCAGCAAAACTTCACCAAGACCAGAGCTGGTTAAGATCCACTCAGACAGGAGGTCACTGGGGACAAACACTGCTGACCTCACTTAAGTTGCTGATACTACATTTCTGTGAGTCTTTGATCTTAAGCCCTTAAATATGTCATAACAAGATTAGTGAGGATGTTCCAGCATAAATAAAACCAAAGCGCACACAGTTCCGATCAATTCATTTAGCTATGTCATTCCGCTTATATGCGGTCTACTTTTAAAAGGACTCCATGGATTTGCCTTATAATATCTTAATTACTACTCAATGCCTGCAATCAGGCATTAATAGTTGACCAAAATCAAGTCCAGTGCCTCCGCCATCCAAAAGATTGGAAACGCTGCACTAAGTCATCACTGCAAAGGCAAAAGTAGCAGATGTGCCTTGTGATGTCAGCTTTCAAGCCCTGACCATCCCTTCTAACTGCACGGAGAGATTTCTTCACCTATCAGACAGCCACGGTCAAAAGGTTGGATGACACAGTGTGTGGGCGGCATAAGAAAACAGCTTCTCTCGCCCCCTGTTGGTGGGGCTAGAAATTGGTATGAGCTCCTGCGGGGCAATTTGGTAGCGTCAATCAAATTATAATGTTCATTCCCTTGGATAGAGAAACTCCTCTTCCAGCTCCTATTCAACACATAAACATAAAACACCATTATTAATGGTGGCACTGTAACAGCAAAAGTGAAAACAATCGGACCTTTGTTAAATAAACTATGTCAGTTTAATAACCTGCTATGCA